GCACCTAACGCGGGCCCGCGCGCTGTTTTCCAGGAGGAGACACAGCCGGCCGCCCTCGACATCCCCCTGGGTGAGTCTCCCCCCAGAACGGTCCTGGGCCCGGGTGCTCGGCTGGGCCTGTCCGGGGTTGAGTGCCCGGAGATGCGTTGGGCTCCGGACTACGGAGTCCGTGCTCAATGCACAGGGCTAAGGCCAGAGTGAAAGCACCAGCGGGTCACAGGCGTCCTTCGGGCCTGCGTGCTGCAGCCTGGCTCGTCCCCGTTCCCTGCCGCCCGCTGCAAAACCAGCTGGGGACGTGTCTCCGGGTCAGCACGCTGCTGCTCTTCTCTTCCAGCTCGCCTGACCGTGTCCTACTGCCGGAGCAGTGGCCCTGGCGGGCAGCACGTTAATAAAGGTGAGGAAGAGACTTTGAAGGAAAAAAATCCTAATCTTTAAGTTGCTTCTTTACACTTTGTGGTGAAATATTGGGAGCTTGAAATTGAGCTTCTTTGTGCTGCCCTATGCTAGTTTTTCATCGTCATTACCCTACATCTTAAAAGACCTTCTAAGTGTTCACAATGCTCGAGACCGGTGGTACCGTATCAGATTCTCCTAGAAACACTCTTACTGGGATCGTTGCCGCTATACGTGTCATGCGAAACACCACTTCTGTCTAATCTCTTTTCATTAGTCAAACATACAACAAGCCAACTGGATTCTGAAACTTCACAGTGCAATAAATTCCCAACTTAATTCAAATAAACTAAAAACCCTTCCTGTTTTGCCATTGCCATTAAAAATAAGGTAGTTAGTGACTGGCAATAGCAATAAATCTTGTAGTGTCTAGAAAGGCAAATACCATGACAGAGTCTCCATAAAAATTTGGTTTGTCTTGTAGAGTGGTATGGAAAATTATAGCAAGAAAAAAAATTGTGATCTTTGAGGAAATTAAGACTGGAATCATCCTGTGTTCAAAGCCAGCGATGAACAGACTGAATTATCTCATAAAACTTAGGAAGGCAAGCGATTACATTGAAAAAAAGATCCTGTTTTTCCTCCCAGTGAACACCAAGGCAGAAGTTCGGTTCCACCTGGCGTCAGCAGATTGGATTCCAGAAGATGTGAGACAAAAAATGGCATCGATGGTAACTACCCTTCCCCTTCCAGCCACAGTTTAAATTTTGTGCTTTCAGGCAGAACATGACAAGTCTAATGAAGTTCCAGTGATCACACTATGGTTTCCCCTCTTTAGCACAGGAATAAGATAAACCGAGCTGGTGAGCTGATTGTGAACTCTGAAGAGAGTCGCTACCAAATGAGGAATCTGGCAATTTGTTTAGAAAAAATCAGAACCATGGTCACGGAGGCTACCGAGCAGCCCAAGGTGGTGTCTAAGGAGACTACACAGAAACTCATAGAGAGGTATTTTTATTGAAGTGGCTTTTATTTGAGATGGATTCAGATGGAAATTGTGTTCCATGATTTAGTTTGCAGCCTCTTTAAACAATCTTCTTCATACTCATTTGGATTTCCTTTTTTAAAAAAAAAAATAATTGGTCCATTAACTGCTTTCCTGGGTAGCATCCCAAAACCAGGGACTGTTTTTCTGTCTGTGGACATTTGTTGGCTCATCAAATCTACATTAGAACTGTGCTAAAAGTTGAATATTCAAGTGTTTTCTTTGTACACTAAAGGATCTTCTAATTTTGTTTTAGGGTGGAAAAAATGAACCGTGAACGACTACGACAGAAAAAGATACACTCAAATATAAAACAGAGCAGGAAGGCAGACTTTGACTGAGAACAGCAGAGATCCAAGTCCTTGGCATACCGTCTTTTTAAAGAGATGGCATTGGCAGCTGTAGATGATGCTAAACTCGATGACCTATGTTGAATAAAAATGGTCTAAAAGTGTAAATAAAAATATTTAACATCTCCTTTTGAAACTAATGATACACTGTGATAACCTGTCAATCATTTTGCAGAAAAATTATTGTTCATGTTTGAGAGAAACTAAAAATTCAGATGTTTGTCAGTTACTTTTTTTTATTCTTTGTCCCCTTCATCCAGCCCTCTGCTCTATGAGAGCACCCTCTGCTGCTGAACACATAAGCAGGAGTAGATTGCTGGGGAAAGAAAGGGAAGAGTAAAAGCAGTCTAACCGCGTATCTAAGTAGCAAATAGACAATTCACCATTTCAAGCACTTTCCTTCCATCTCAGTTGATTTTTTTCCTAACCAAAAAAAAAAAAAAAGCATGCCATTTTGTTAAATTAACCTAAAGCCATGGCAGGAATTTGGCAGGAGGTGGTTGCTCTCTGTTCAGAAACAGCCTTGTAAGTACAGGAGGTTTCTGGCCCTTGAGGTAGAATGCTGTAAAAACCTCAAACTAAATTCTTACAGGCTTCAAGAGGCCCTCATTAGTGGACCCTCTTTAAACAGAACAAAATTCCGTGGTTTAATGTGGATTTCACTACCACCAGATTGGTTTGGGGGGAGTGAGGGGGTGAGATTCAGGGGGTGGGGGTGTCTCAAAGGTACTGAAATTACACTTTTTTAGTGTTCTTGTGTGGCCCCAGTGGCCTAATGGATAAGGCACTGGCCTTCTAAGTCAGGGATTGTGGGTTCGAGTCCCACCTGGGGTGAGGAGAGGTGGTTCTGTTTTAGGCAAGAACGGAATAAGAGGGGAAAGTGCTCTCAGCTGGTCCCTGGAGTTTAACTGGGGCACAGCGAGGTGCACAGAGCTCTGCTCTGGCGCTCACACCTCTCCTACAGCCGGTGCCTGGACCCCTTTGGAAGGGGGACTTCTGAGGTCTGCCCTTACCCAGCCCAGCATTTACATCTGCAAAAAGCAGAGCACTCCCATCCCACATCCTCCCCAAAACAGGCTGCCTGGGGGGTGGGGGGTGTGCAGGAGCACACCAATGCATCCTGACATCCCTCCCAGGCCAGAGGCCCCAGGCTGGGCACCTCTGCCTCTGCACGCCCTGCCCAGCAAGGGGAACAAGGATAATAAAGTTTCCTCCTGCCTGAAGCTTTTCTGCGCGGGAGCGGGGTGGCTGCCAGCTCCCCCTCTCACAGGCAGAGGTGTCTGCAGCTCCGTGCTGTGCCCTGGCCCCTAGAAGAGAGGAGGGTGTTGCTGCTTCAGACATATTTCTGACACTGGAAGGTGACATGAGCTCCAACGGCGACAGCTCCAGCCGCACCCGAGACCCCCATGAGCAGGAGACCTCACTGCCAGCTGTCACCTGCGGCTCAGGTCTCCACCCCCACATTTTACAGTAAGATTTGCAAAATTCTGCTTAAAGCCAGCACACGACACCAGGGTTTAGAGGAGATGGACGCTTCAGGGATTAAATGTGTATTCCAAGACCGTGCCTGTTTTTTCTGCCAGGAAACCCCCTTCTTCTCCACATCAGCCTGCCTGAGCCCGGGGAC